AGGAAGACATTCCCATTAAATTTAGTTAATTACTATAAACTGATTATTATAATTTCCAAAGCTGAAGGTCATTCCAAAAAAGCTAAACAAAAACAGCAATTGTTTGCTTAGGGAGATTCATACTTATTAAAATAACATAAAGTATGGGTGCCTTCTTTTTGTGCACTTAGTTTCATTTTTTCTTGGTAATTTTTTCGAAGTAATAATTATATTTTTTATTATACATACTCGTTTCTACCTCACATTTACTTTAAAATATGTAACGACAACAAACCATTTACATAAAAAGTAGTTCCCGAACACCTGAGATATTTGTTTATAAAAGTGTTCTAATATAGTATAATGAATTGTATAAATATATGTTGCATTATTTATACTTAAATTCATTTAATAATATTGTTATAATGTATTATGAATGTTTATTATTTTTCACGCATATAACAGTTGTAATATAATATGCAAATATTTGTTTATATACGCGGATTGATAAGAATGCGTATCAAAAGCAACTACTGAATTTCCTATTAAAAATGACATAAAAACAGAAACGGCTCCAGCCAAAGAACTCCGTGTCTAATTTTAACAAAATTTGGCACTGTACTCAGCAATGATTCACAGTACAATACGCTACATTGGTTGGGGCATTATGTATCATTTAAATTATATCTCAGGAACACACATACATACATACAAGATTAGAATTTAGCATTATATACATTATAGCTCTAGTTATCTATTGAGCAAATTTTGGTAAAAGTCCTACCTGTCAAAAAATACATCCTGATCATTTTCACATATTTTTTCTGTTGCCTTCTTAATATGATGATGATTCGATTTGATATCCATTTTAACGTCTTGATCCATCTTAGATATGCTGATCATATCTCAGATCCTTCCTAAAGATTAGAGAGACAACACTTTCCTAAGCACATGGGCTTCTCCAAGCAGTGATGTCAGGTAGCTCCAAGGCGTCCTGTGAGGCAGAACAATTCCTGGAACTAGTACCGAGTGCACCAACAACAAAATAGACAACTTAAGCTGCTGTTTGGTATGGTTATGGATTAAATAACAGAGTAGATTGGGTTCTCTATCCTTGGTTGTCAACCAGTCTACTAGAAGAAAAACTCTGAATTCAAATCTGGTTGAATATGGGTCTAGAAAATTCACCCCTAAAACCTATTGCTACTGAAATCACAACAACAGTACCTAGTGTGGTGAGGCTGTGGCACTATACTATGTAAGGCGAATACTGTTTCAACTGACTGATTGATAAATGGCAAGGAGATTATGTTTATGTTTTAACCATTGTATTTATGTTTAGGCATAAATAAATATCTTTATTACATGTTGATAAAGTATTCTTTTTATTTGTATCAGTCCCAAAGTAAAGTGGGGCAAGCATAATCACGAAAACATTTTATAAGTATCAGAACATTCAGTCACAAAAAAAGTTGTAAACACAGATTTTTTTAAAAATAAAAATTTTTTCAACTCTAAAAAGAAGATAATAATTTATGATACAAATAATAAAGTTGATGCAAAAGTTTCCAGCAATGTTTTTAACAAAAGCTTCTATTCATATAAATTCATAATATCATTATTCAGTCACCAATTTGTTTTCCTAGATTTTCTATGATTTCATGCCATCTTTTGGTTAAATTGTTTATTCCACTATAAAAGAACAATTCTTCTTTGAAGGTGATTATTATTATTATTATTTTATTTCCTTTGATTTCTGGTGTGTACTCATTACTTTCTGGGTCCTGCTTAGAGACCTAAGGTTAGAAATAATGACATTTTCCACTGAGCAATTAAAAAAACAAAACATATTTTACATAGATAAAGCCCTTCGTAAGGTGTGGGCTGTACTCATGAGAACAATTTTTTGTATTTCTTTAAGGCATGGGCTTCCAGGAATTCCTTCAATGAATCCAATCAATCCAAGATATCCAACTACAACAGGGATTGTTAATGTTCTCATGTGCCACATTTTTTATATTATAATTATTATTACTACTACTACTACAACTACTATTTTATTTCCTTTTATTTCTGGTGTGTACTCTTTTCTTTCCAGGTCCTGCTCAGGGACCTAAGGTCAGAAATTGCAACATGACATTTTCCACTGAGCAATTAAAAAAAAAAACATATTTTACATAGATAAAGCCCTTTGTAACGTGTGTGCTGTACTCATGAGAACAATTTTTTTGTAATTCTTTAAGGCATGGGCTTCCAGGAATCCCTTGAGTGAGTCTATTGGAATCTTTTCCAATCAACCCAAGGGCTCCAACTACAACAGAGATTGTTGATGTTCCCATGTGACACATTTTTGAGATTTCGATTTCAAGGTCCTTGCATTTTAATAGCTTTTTGAAGATCTTCAGAGATACATTGCAGTCTGCAGGGACTGCCATATCAATAAGGAGGCACTTTTGCGTGTGCGATCTCTAATAACAGTGTGTGGGCGGTTAGCTTTGATTCTTCTGTCTGTGTGTATTGTGTAGTCCCATAAAATTGTTGCAGGTCCTATCTCTGTAACCAAGTCTGGGTGATGGTCATACCAATTATTATTATTATTGTCATTATTAATTTTTCAATGTGCAGCTGTGAATTCAGATTCATTTATCAGAAGCCAAATTTTATCCAAGTAAGGGAATCTTTTTCGTTTTTCACAAGGAAATTCCTTTTCCATTTGAGGGGAAGAAAAGTTATTATTGTCCATAAAACAGAGGGTTTGATAAAAAAGAAAAAATACATATTAAAATATAACAACAAAACAATTAAATTTACGTAATTGGTTAAAAGAAAATGTCTATTTTAAATTTTAGAAACTGACTTTCATCAGAAATATTACATTTAATAAAAAAATGAATGGTAGCAAAAAATCTCCTCTTTATTTTTTGTAAACACTCAAGTAGATGTTTTTTTATCAGATGATTTGATTTAGATATATAAAAAAAGATAGAAAAGAAAATATTCATTAAATTTCTCTTATTTTTTTGTTTTTCCTGTTTCTATTTTGTTTATTTGCCCAAGGGACTTGATTTGTGGCAGAGGAATTTCTTATTTTCAGTTCATAATTCTCTCTTCAGTAAGAGGGTGTTCTTTTGTCATTGGTCTTTGTTGAGACAAAAAGAAGCAGATATTTTTATCAACACAAAATGAAAGTTTGCAAAACTCTCTTTAAATGTAAAATAGACAATTTATAAAATTTGAAAGATACAGACAACAAACATTTGTGAAAAAATTCAGATTTAGAATAGAATGGACTTAAATCTTTGATTAACATATGACTATGAATAGAAATATAAGAATGAGAATATGAAGGACATAGGAATATAAATACATAAATGAATGAGAATAGGAATAAGAATATAAGAATAATATAAGAAAATAAGCATGAATATAAAAACGAGGATAGAAATAAGGATATAAGAAAATAAATAAGAATATAAGAATGAGGATGGGAATGAAAGATATTAATAAGTATATGAGATTGAGAATATGAAGAAAATTAGAATAGGAATTGAATATTATATGATGAATAAAGCAAAACTTTTAAATAAAATCACAAATAAATCAGTAAATAAATAAATTAGCAGAAAAACAAATTTCTTTTTTTAATCTTGTTCACTCAATAGAAGGCCCATTAAGGGTGGGAAATAATTCCTTGCCCGCAAAGATGTGGAAATGCTTTTGAACTCTCTCAAGGCTGGAAACTGGGGATGCAAAACAATAAAGATGAAAATAATTTTTTTTTTAATCATTTCAACCCAAGCAAGATGATAAAGCCACTAAGCTGCAGAGGGTTACTAAGAGTGAAAGAATATAGGAAAATTAAAAACATTATTAAGGAGCAAAATGAAAAAACAGGAATTAAGAAGACAGACGATAACTATTGACATTGCATTTAAATTTTTGAAGATCAAAGTTGACTGGAAAGTAAAAAGGCGGAAGAGAGTTCCACAAGCAAGAAGTGCGATAGAAGAAACTGTTAGCATAGAACTTATGGTTGCGTCTAACCATTTCGGTTGTAAAATGATAAGACCTTGCCACTAATCTAGTCAGTCAGTTATGTGCCATGCATGATACACACTTAGGTGATCATGTATCTTTCAATACATGACTGACAAGGCAGATTTTTTTGTGCAGTAAGTTGCTATTTCTTTCTGCAGTAGACCAGTTGTCATCCAAAGCTATAGAACCTGGTCTGTCCTGCTACTTAACAAGGAGGAGGCTTATACTTGACATCAGGAAGAGGCAGCTGAAGTTTCCAGGCACATAACGAGGAAGGAGGGCCTGGAGAATCTGATACTCACGAGTCGAACAGAGGGAAAGAGAGACAAAGGAAAAACAACATATGACATACCTAGTGGCCTTAAGCAAGTGGACGGCAGAACATGGTCTGGGGGAGGTGGCAGACAGAAGTAACTTGTCGTGAGCTGCAAGGGATAGAGGGAGGTGGAGAGCCATGATCGCCTGCATCCTGACAGGACACGGAACATAGAAAGAAAGAATGGCTAGTGAATATCAAACTCACTACACATCTAAAACTAATTGGCTGTAGAGAGGTATCTCTGTATGTTTACAAATTTTAACTTAGTTTGGTACAAGGCTCAAAGTGTTGAGCACCCAATAGTGAAATTAAACACACTATTATGCTTACAAAAGAAAAGAGAACCAGGAGCATTGTGACTTCCAAAGGGAGAAGTATTTAAAATTGTCATGATTTCATTGAAACAGTACAAGATAGAAACCATTCGAACTGAAGTGTTCAGAAAATCAGCAAAGATGAGTGCATTATTTAAAGGAGACAAATAAAAAGAGACAACACAAACCAAAATAGAGAAATACAGTCTTATAATAAGACTTCCATTTGCATTATCTTTCAATCAGTCATTTCCTTACTTCCATCACTGGAGAGTTCTTCTGAAATTGATATGGACATTTTCTCATAAAAGTCAGAAGAGTTCCAATGAATATAAATGAAATTAATTAAG